TATATATCCTGAATCTTCCAGGTAAAAATATGCCCAAACCCCTCTTCAAGACTGCATTTCTTGGGAACCAGCAGTTAGCGTAATGGCTATGTCGCTGGACTCCCATGTAGTCGACCGCGGTTCGCGTCCCAGACCTGGTGGCTTAAACTCACACCGGGCGAGTGTGTGTGCATGCCCAAGATCCCGAGAGGACAATGGAGGAGAAGGGATTGCGGCGTGACCATCCCCCCTGGGGGGTGATTTCTCACTTTCTGTCTCTCTGTCTCTCTCTGTCTGATGAGCGCACGCGCCCTATAGCGAAAATCTCTCCAAAAAAAAAAAAAAAAAGACTGCATTTCTTCTAGTTTGCCATGGTTCATTAGTTCTTCCCACAGCAGTTAATTATGATTAGATCACTTCATCACTCTATGTGAGTGTGTCTGGCTATTAAAAGAACAAAGCCAGTGGGTGGCATGGTAGTTGAGGCGCCAGACTCCCACATGGCTGACTAGAGAGTTCGAGTCCCAGATCTGGTGCCATGCTTTCTCACTCCTCCCACCTCCGTGCCTCTCTCTGGTCAACTTAAAAAATAATAATAACAATAAATAAATTTTAATAAATATATATTTTTTAAAAGAACAAAGCTACGTACACTGTATCCCTACATATAAGAAAGGCAAGAGTAATGACAGAGATGAAGTCCTCATCACATCACCCAGAATGCACTAGGCTGGATAATTTGCACACAAGTGCCGTCCATAGGTCCTGTAGGGACCCTGTCCTTTGGTCCCAGTGGACCTAAGGCCGGATGACTCAATGGACAGTCTTTTCATTTACGTCCTTGAGTGGGTTTCTTAGCGTGTCTGACCCTTAGTTTGTTCATCGGGAAGGCTGAGATAGCTATCCCTAAATCAGGCGCTTCGTTCTGAATTCCGTCAGCTGCTCTTCTGAGATTGAAGCTGGTAAATATGTTTTCAAGGAAATAACCTGTTAGGCGTTGCCCTCCTGTTCGTCACCCACAAATGCAAAGTGCATGGAAATTCTCCATATAGTGTAGCATTCGGGGTAGTCCTGGCAAGTGATGAGAAAACCACCGTGTGAGGTGTCTAGTGACCATGGTATTCGGCAGGTGCCAAATAAAGCTATGTCCATCCTTGTCCTTCCTTACTGAAGGAAAGGAATTTCGTTACTTGGAGGAGATCCTTTGGCCCCACCAAGATAGAAGGTCTTCCATGGCTGCAATCATTAGGAACCCTGATAGTTCTTACTGTAATTAATTGTAAGTAATTAACTGCAGTGTTAACAGTTTAGAGAAGAAAAACAGGCCAGAGACAGGAGAATGCTTAAACAATGTCATTAAGCAAGAGAGAGTCTCCCCGCCAGCCTCCCAGGCAGGGTTTTTAGGCGCTGCTGGCCACTGCTGTCACTCCTTCCTTCCCCACCTCCCCGTCTTATCCCACTGCGGACTTACAAACCCTGGCTCTCCACTGGCTGGGCCTTCGGGGAAAAGGTCCCGTTGTTTGTGGTAATCTGACCTGGCAGGAGCCCGTTCTGCTTTCAGTCATGCTGTCTCCAAGGCAGGTGGGGCGCTGGGTCTCCTCCAGTCATGCCTGGGGGAGCCGCTGGGCCAAGCCATGGCAGGGGGGGGCCCCTGGGTTGG